TGTCATGATATTTAGTGTCACTTAGATTAAAATACATGTATAAAATTGTTTTAAGGATATTTTGACAAAAAAAATTATTTAAATACAATATTTTGGCAAAAAATTAACTTAGAATAATCTTTTTTCAAAATGTTCTCCTTTTGTAAAAAATGCTTCTATTATAATAATATTTTGCCCGTATATAGCTTAGACCTCTCTACAGAGGCTCAACTAGAATTTTTGAAAAGTTCACATTATTTTCAGAGTTACCACCAATTTAACTAATTATTGGCGTTTTTTTCTTAAAATTGCTCCCCTCTGTTGTCGTAAAATATGGACAAATCCACTTCTAAGTTATATATTTCAAAAATTTGAGTTGAGCCTCTGTGCAGAGGTCTGAGCTATATACAGGCAAAATATTATTATAATAGAGGCATTTTTCACAAAAGGAGAATATTTTGAAAATGGGTTATTCTATGTTCATTTTTTGTCAAAATATTGTACTGAAATAATTTTTTATTGTAATAATATTCTTAAAACAATTTTATATACATTTTCTAATCTATGTGACACTAAATATCATAAATATTATCCATTTATGCGCTTTTGCAAAATCACAGTTCCAAACGAAGTTGGATACCTTAATACAGTTTTTTCAAATATTAATTCATTTTTTAAATTAAAAAAATGAATAAATAGTAACAAACAAAAAATAATAGTCTGGCAGTATATATAGAAAGGAAAGTCGTTCGTTGTGTCCCAGTAGTGCAATGGATGCCTCATTGGACTTCTAATCGGAAGGTCGTGGGTTCGAATTCCACCTGAGATGGCCTAATTTCTGAGAATGTGATTTCTTTTTTTTGTACTATCTTATTAGAATTAATGAATAAATAAATAGTAACAGAGACAAAAAAAAAATAGTTCAACACCCTATATAGAAAGGAAAATGGAAAATCGCTTTCTATATTTTGTTAATTAATATTGTGATTCTGTCATATGTATATACATATTTATATTAATTGTAACTATTTAATAAAAAGTAACTAAAATAAATTTTTTTCTTTGTTGACCTAAGTAGGAATTGACTTAAAAAAAAATTTTATATTACTTGTTTATATCAGATGAATTAAAATTTTAATATATGCTTAGAACATAACGTTATATAAAAAGAAAATGAAAATTCTAAGTATATATACTTGTTACCAAAAATAAACATAATGTAGGATATTTTTGCTCGTTCCAAGTTCAGAGATTCCTTGAAATAATTCTATCAATCTTCGATTAATTACTTTTGTTCTACGGGGTAATTTTTATTCCATTATCGGGGTTGTCCCCTGGACCATGCCTATTCACAACAAAAGTTTGCATTTTCTCGCTGCATCAACTACTTACTCTAATTTTTTCATGTTAATTTTTTTGATTTGTGACTATCACTTGTAGAAATAAAATCCTTCCTTAGGTCCATAAATGTAATATAATCAGTGTTATGATAACAATAGATAACTATACTAACTAAATCATTGTAATCATAATTTACCAGCTAACTACATATTACGTTTGTTTTATATTAATTACTTTTATACCGTAAAACAAATTAAAGTTAAACCGAAATAAAATACTGTCTGTTACATATTTCAAATCGAATGAAAATATTTCATTGTCTATCAGTCTTTCATTCGGGGACATTTTCAGATTGTTTGTAACAAATTTTCACGTAGCTAATACGCCCAACTCTTTTTTTACACGGTAAATACTTTCCTTAGAAAACCATGCAAAAAAAAAAAATCGTCTAAAAAATACATGCGACATATCGTCGGTCTAATTATCAGGCTGCGTAACTCCATCTGGGATGCTAATTTGATACAGTAGGGCTAGGCGCCAAGTTGTTGTTTATGTTCGCCAAGATAGGCGATATTATTACAATATGGTTTACTTTGATATTTTTATCGCGCGATAATGTGGTTGCCATGGGAATAACGTACATTAGTGTTATTTTTTTGTTTTGGTTTTTTTTTCCGCGGGATCTCTGCTCAGCAAAAGTAACACATTGTTACAAATTTTGTGTAATGAACGCTAAAATAGTGTAAATAATTTATATATCTGGAAGTGTAATACATTAATATTACTTTCTGTTGCATTTATTTTATGTTAAAATCTTGCCACCACCTCTCCCTTCGAAATCTAGTCTTATTATGAAATATAAAAAAAAGTAGTGATTACACTGATGGAGGAATAAATTAAAAGCGGAGCGTGCACTGTGGCATGGCGTAGACAAAACAAAAGGATTAAGGAATCGCGCCAAAAAGCGCGCTTGGCGCGTTGCACTCCTATATTAAATCAGTAACACCGGTGGAGTTACGCAGTCTGATAATTAAGCCGACGATATGGTAAATTTTAAAATATGTTCCATAATGTTAAAAAATCGTGTAAGATGAAAAATCTCTAAATATTTTCCCAATAAATCGTGTAAAAAAGTAATAATAAAAACCGTGTTACATATTTATATAACAGAAACAAATCATTTTTGTGACAAAAAAATTAAAATTAATACATAGTGAAAATTTAGTCTATAAGTATATGCGACATACAAAAATTCAAATTTAAATTAGCAATAAAACTACTAACTAACAACTATTTATCACTATTTAATAACAAGCGTGCACGTTCATTACAATCTGGATAATAAATGCTATCATCAGTAGATGTGTCAGACATGTCTAGCTCAACTGTAGGTTTTGATTCAAATAAATTTTGTTCGTTATTAACAGTCTCAGAGTCTTTTTTTTCGGGGGGGGGGGG